AGTGAGTGAGTGAGTGAGTGAGTGAGTGAGAGAGTGAGTGGGTGAGTGAGTGAGTGAGTGAGTGAGTGAGTGAGTGAGTGAGTGAGTGAGTGAGTGAGTGAGTGAGTGAGTGAGTGAGTGAGTGAGTGAGTGAGTGAGTGAGTGAGTGAGTGAGTGAGTGAGTGAGTGAGTGAGTGAGTGAGTGAGGGAGCGAGCGAGCGAGCGAGCGAGTAAGTGAGTGAGTGCGTGATGAGTGAGTGAGTGAGTGAGTGCGTGCGTGCGTGAGTGAGTGAGTGAGTGTGTGTGTGTGTGTTGGTGTTTGCGTGTAGATGTGTGTGTGTGTGTGTGCGTGTGTGAGTGTGGGTGTGTGGGCGTGGGTGTGCGTGTGAGTGGGTTTGCGTGTGGGTGTGCATGTGGGTGTGCGTGGGTGTTCGTGTGGAGGTGGGTGTGCGTGTGGGTGTGGGTGTGCGTGTGCGTGGGGCTCCAAAGCGCTTCCTCTGAAATTGGTCAAGACAACTTGGCGTGGTGGAGTAAGTACTGACTGCGGCAAACCAGGAAAGCTGCCACACCTCCCGTTTGTGGGAAACGCCCACGACAGAATGCCGACACTGCTGTAAACATGTACAACCACTTTAGCTTGTCCTGTGGGCTCAATCAAGCGGACTCCATGCGAGAAGTGCTGGTAAGTGAAAGAGATTGTAGGTCTTCGCTGCCTAGAAACCGTCCGCATATGTGAGCCAGTACCTCCATAGAGGTTCCGCCCCGCCCTTTTCACAGCCCAAATTTTCCCGGCCTCTGCACCTTTCTGCAGTTCGCCCGACCTTCCAAAGAAATGGCAGGACACGCCATCCACTGCCAAGGCGCTGGTTCCAGCCCTGCCCCCCCCACTGTCGCAGGAATGGAGATTACTACCACAGCATGCCTCCCCTATGATTGTACTCAAGTGAGATGTGTTGCTTGGGACCAAGTCCTGAAGACCCACAAGACAAAATGCAAGCACAACTGTATCAGACTAAATTGCTGGGATCATGTTAGATCATGTCAAGAAAGCTGATCACAATTCAGGAACTTGTTGATTGCAAATGGTTCTGTTCCTCAAGCCTTTTAGTGATTCCAGTGCTGTTGCCACTGTTGCAGCTGTTGTCGCGTCTTGCGTGTAAATTCAGCCAAAGTGTCCGCCTTCTTACTGCATGCAAGGCTTAGGGATTCCAACCAAAGCACTTACTTGGTCGTGCTCCCTTACACCCTGGGGCGACATGCCTCTCAAGCCGTCCATGCCCCAAAGTATCTGGCCCACGAAATCTTGGTTTTCGTGTTTGGTGTCCGTTTAAACAAAGGCGAAAAGGATACCAAGCAAAAAAAAAAAAAACGCGTTGCCTTCCCATTTCGCGTCTGCCAGAAGCAGCGGAAGGAGCCTCAGATCACGAACTCAGCTTGGCAACACCCTTTAGCCCCAAAATCAGCCTGGAAGTGATTCGTCAAACCGACTGGACCATTGCTCCGGACTGAAGATAGCCAAATGGTGTCAAGCTGCCACAGCAGCGCTGCCATGGCTCGGGCGGCTTCGGAGCGCTCCGGTGTAAAGTGTTAGGCCTGTTGCTTTGTGAGAAACACCAAAGTACCAAAAAGTTCAGTCCAAAGGTCCAAAGCGCAAAGATCAGTGCAAGCTAAGGGAAGATCAGTGCAAGCTAAGGGAAGATCAGTGCAAGCTAAGGGAAGATCAGTGCAAGCTAAGGGATGCCGCTGAATCCAAAGCCTTACAGTGACTCGTCTACATGGGCCTGGCTCACCTTGCAACCTTGCACGGCCTTCGTCTCGGGGTCAAAATTTGGCGTCTGAGCACAACCGAAGCTGTGAATGCGAGCTGAGGTCCAGCACTTCCGTACGCAACCCAGAGGGTTGAGCGGCCGGGTTCTAAAAGCGCAGCAGGGTACTGAGACTTGATGCACAGTCAGAAAATGTGTGAACCTGCGACCTCCAAAGATTTCTGACCAGCCTTACCGTGACACTGTGTTCTTCGTTATTGCAGTGTGGCACTGCCTGGTTTATGCTTGGGCAAATCTCTAAAAACTCGCCTTTCGTTTCCTCACCCACTCTGACCCGGCTCCGTTGATCGCCTTCCGCGCCGGCGCCCATTTTGCAGGCTGACAGGTCTGTGGCAGGGCCTCAGTCGAACCTGGCACGGCAACTCGCTCTCGCAAAGCTCCAGGCAAGGCCGGCAGGTGTCATGGAGTTGGGAACCCCAGCTGCCTGCATGTCGGAAAAAAATGGCAACCAGTGGTTGGGACCTGTCCATTTCAGCACTCCACCACTGATTGCCTACTACCAGCTCTCATTCTACGGGTAGGGAGTCTGATGGTGAACACGCTTAAGCTTTTAGAATCTAGGGTGGAGGGTCAACACGGTTTAGGGTTTAGGTTTTGGTTTGTCGCCTGTGCGGAAGAAATGTATCAGCACTCGACTCCTCGTTCTGCCACGTGCACCCGTGAAACCGTCACACGAATCTCGCCTGATAGCCCAGTTCTTTTCAATACGGCACACCATCGGTATGTACAAACTTCATCCAGAAAATGAGACTCAACATATGGAATGCCTTTGCCGTTTCCCTTTGATCATCCAAAAGGAGGCATACACACCCAGCACTGCCAGCGGCCTTGCAGTTGACTTCAGCCACTGTAGATGCCCGAGACCTCAGCCCGACACAACCCAAGCGCCAAGATGATCGTACTTCGGTATTGTCTGCCAAATGGGGGGCAAAGCCTCAACACGCGCGGTGTCTATCAAAAACAAAGCGGGTGGGAAGTGTTTGAGGATTCCTTTGGAGCTGTTTTGACAGGAAACCAAAGGGAAAAGCTGTTCGGCTAAGCAAAAATGCTACTTAGCTAAGCAAACGCTGTTTGAAAGGACCCACAACTTCTGCCGACCAGCCAACAATATCCGCCTCACTCTTTGCAGGACTGGGGCCCCAGCGTCTGTCTTCAACTTCTTGCCAACCTGTGCAATGCACAATGAGCTCTATGTAGTCTGGTGACCACAACTTGACCGGGCAGGGACCGTGCTGTTCCACGGAAAATGGATGGAACAACAACGACCGGAGATGACAAACTGGTGAGCGAACTTGCTGGGATTTGCTGGGGTAGTCCCTAGTCACACCTCGACTCTCTGCAAAATACCAGACTGGGTGGCCCACCACGCGAGAGACAAACTGCTCGGGGATGGGTATTTCGATAAGGTCGCCATCCTGTCAAGACTGCACTTTGAAGCCTGGGTACTGAGCAGGAATCAATGGGCTGCAGTCCTACATGGGCGAGCGTGACTTTAATGGTATGGCCCTGCAAAACATGCCTAAGCACTAGACTCCTACCAGACAACATTTAGGAAAACAACTAAAGGACACAAACTCGTCCTCTGCCGATCCTGTGCTACTCAAGTGCACTGTGGTACTCCAAGCCTCTTGGAGGTGAAAAACCTCCAACAACAACAGTTGGCGCGCACACACACACACACACACACACGGAGGGCATGGCTCACACCTGGATCCAACAAAAAAGCAGGCAGTCTTGCCTCTTGCTCTGGATCAGGAATAGTGACCTGGCACGAGTGCGGCATGTAGCATCATATGGCCAGCGGTACGGTCTGTCCTGAATAAACCCACTCCCCAAATAGGTGGTAATTGAAACGTTGAGAGTTTGTGAGGTTGCAAAGCGGAGCAAGTACAGCCCATCACTTCATTGAGCACGCCGAAAGAAGTCCGCAGGTTTTCCTACTCAAGGTTTGCCTTCTAGCAGCCAAGGCTCAAGTGCGCCAAAGGGCAGTTTAGCAACGTCAAGTCGGGCAACGCAAGCTAACAGTCTAACTGCTGACAGCAGGGTTGGTCCTTGAAAGGGAAAAATGCAGCTGTAGCATGAGCTGGCGCCACCGCAAAAGCCAAATGACACAAATCCTTTGGCCACTCCGAGAATTGGAAGGCAGCGCATTCATCTCGGAAGATTTGGACGCGGTGATCTCCGCGGCAACAGATTCCTGGCGCTGGACACCATGGGACACGCGTAATATTCATGCGTGGTATCCGGGTCACGGCGGTAAAGTTGAGTTGGACTCGACATCTCTTTTTCACCCAAACATGCCCCTTTTGACCCAATGGGTGGATTGAACTTCAGCCGGCAGGAGACAACAGTTCTGCGAAAACAATCCGTCATGGAGAGGATTTACACTGCAAATGAACATAGAACCCAGAACCCAAAAAGGGGGTCTTCCAAAAGGAGATGCCTCCAAAAACTACAGGTGTTGCGTTCCTATATAAAACTGCACCATATATTTAACCGCAAGTAAAAACTACCTGCCACTGGCGTTGTTGGAAACCACGCCTTCGACAGCCACACATTGACCCCATCGCACTTGTCAATGGCAACGGCCACCACCTGCGAGTGGCAGAGTCATGGGGAACACACCATGGGATTTTTTTTGTCTCAGGGAGCAACCCACAAACGGTGGCTGCCCTTTGAACTCTCTTTAAACCGACCCCCAAACAGGGTACCCTCCAAAACGAACTCGCTGGTGCTGGCTGGAATGGTGGGATCTGCCCATATTCTGACAGCAGCAAGCCACAGTGAGGAACCGCCGGGTTAACCTCTTGCACCCTGATTCTAAGTTTCCCTCCGATTCTGGGCCACCCTGAACTGGGCCACCCTCTCTGAGACCCAAAGACGGTGAACAGCACGCGCCTTGCCCAAGGCCTGCATTTGGCATCGGTCGCTGTTGACCAGCTCCACGGCCTCGGGCCATGTCCGTTTCCCGTCCGATGCCTGGCTATGAATTTGAAGGGGAACAGCCGCCATGCGCTGGGTGGACATAAATATCCTCGTACATCATGTCGAACTGCCAACCTGCCAAACTACAAGTCATACCCAATTTTAGCACGCAAGTGCCATGCACAGCTTCCTGAGCAACATGCAAACAGTTCGAACTGGTCAATGAGAGCAGATCTTTCGATCGCTTTTGCAGGCTCACGAGCTGACACAGTCCGTTGCTGCAGTCCTGGGGTGTTCCCATCGCGGGCGTTTATCCCGGTGCAAGCTTTTATGTGTCGCTAAAGCAGGCACGGCATGATCCTTGCGCATGGAAACACGAGTCCATTTGAGCCTGACAGATCTGTGCCTAGGTGTCCAACAGAGATGACATCCTGGACGATCACGTTGACCTGGTCTGGTGGTGCCCGGTCCGGCTACATCCAGGTGGTAGGCTCGTGCAACAAGCCCAGGAGCATGAGGCTCGCATGATCCATTTATTTGAGCAAACTAATGTTCAAACAAAGATGGCAGGCTGGGCGTGTGCATGAAAACACCACTATTCTCATTTATCTCGGGGACATGCCTGAACTCGGGGCCTACAAAAGGCATTGAATGTGTGGGCACCTATGCTTAAACGGAGGCAAGCCTAGTAAACCTTGACCCATTGCCACAAATCGTGCCTTTGAGGGCAGTGGAGGGTGGCAATGCCTCTGCCAAGCCAAGAATCTGCCCCGCGCCTTCTCACAGCTATCGATCTGCACAGACTTCACCTGGAATGATTAGGACAACGGGAGTGCCAGCATGCCTCAAATCTGCATTTCGAAGGAGCTTTTGGGGGGAGAGGGGGTGAAAGCACAAGTCTATGTGAAGCAGCTTCTCAAAACCAATTTGGCCCTCGGGGGCCCTCACGAACGAATAGCCGCCACTGCCACAGACCCAAACAAAAGGCATCCACCCACTGGGTTTGTGCCAAAATTGCGGTGTTCCTTGTGGTTTCCTTTTAAACAACCCAAAATGGGTACCCTCAAAAAGCAGGTCCTTCCTCAGGTTGACCAGTGCTTCGAGCAACTGACCAACGGCCCGGACGGAGCCTTGCTGGGGATCTGCACCGTGGTGTTGCGGCAGTTGAGGATGCAAACCAAGTGCTTCATGGTGGCCTTCCCAATTTGCTTCTGGTATCCCTTTTCAAGAACCCCAAATGGGTGTCCTCAAAAAGACACACACACACACACACATGATACATCCCATTGGCTCCATGCGACTGTGCTTAAGCCACTGGCTTCCTCCATGACCTGAGTGGCTGGGTTGACGCTGAGGGCATTCACATCGGTCTGAAATCCTCTTGCCGTTGGCTACACATGAACAAACACCTGCCATCGTAAGAACGCCAAGAAAAAAGATCCGCACTTCGCATCTGCATCCCACCCGTGCCTTCCGGAGCTGGGATCCCAGCCACGCGCTCGCCTTCAAAGTTCTCGACCATCCAGTTGACGTCCTTCTGCAGCTCCTCTCAGCTGACTCGGCCACTTTGGTCAGATCAAAGGGCAACACGGGCTGTGGGAGGATGGGCTGAGGGTTGTGGTTGCACCTTAAAGGTTTCTGGGAGCCGGAATTCTTGATAGGGGAGCTTGACCGGAGAAAACTCAAGCACGACAACCTCCAGTATTTCCCCCAATTGAGACAAAGTCCAAACCATCTACTGTGGTGGCAATCATGTGACAGGATGTGGACCGCCAGTTTCTCAGCTCTTATGAAGGCATTCTCCCACTGGTTTACCCAGTGCAAAACAGCTATTGCAACTGCCGTGCATCAGCAACTGCGAATGTTGGCCCCATTGTTCGATCCTGCCTGTGGATACGTTGACTCGTGTAAAGACTTTGTGCAACTTCAAACAGCTTCCTGGCATTCAGCATGGAAAACATCCGAGGCCATTTGCACGCCACAAAAGAAACTTTCCCTGCAACAGCGTTCGGTATCCAATGAGGCGAGTCAAAGTAGCAATCACCGGAAGAAACGTTGCCAGCCGCCGTGCCAATGTGAAAAGGCACGCCTGGATCGCTTCAAAGGCTTGAAAGGCTGCCGGCAGTCCAACCAGTTTCGTCCGACATGATCATGTTGTATCATGCTGCACCCAGTGCAAAGTCAGGCGGCCTTTGCCCCCTCCTTCTTCGGCTCCCCTTTCGGCCCCCGGCTGTTGAAGCCACCCCGCCGGGCGGGGGGTGCCTGCGGTCACCGGGCTAGTGGCAAACGGGGATCGGTGGTCAAACAACGAGATTGGACTGTTTTGGAGCATTGCCTAGTCTGGAGTGGCGATTTGGGTCTCAACCTCATTCTCTCTCTCTCTCTTTATTTCTGCGGCTCTCCTTCCTGGCGTTTGTGGCCTGCTTCATTGTCGTCTCATCCCACCCTCGCCTTGGCCTTGGCCGCAGGGACGACCTGGGGACCGTCCTTGCACAGTTTCCCAAAGACTCTCTCAGGCCCTCCACAGGCGTGTTCCTTCCTGGAACGAGTTGCAGCTGAGCTGCTAAACGAAAACAAACAAAAAACTTGTGGGACGCAAGTGAACAGCTTGATGCATGTTACTTGATTTGGCTCAGAGAGGCCAGTGGTGAGCAGAAACTGTTTCTCATGCGCTTCAGACGTTTAGGGCATCACGCTCCGCACAGTTGGACAAGCCGCGTCTCGCGTCCTTCGCTTGGTTCTTGGTCTTCATGTCGGCGGTTACCTGCAAAAGGCTTGACGCGCTTCATGGCATCCGAGCCCTTTTCATCAGACTCAAGATTCTCTTCATGGGTGCGCGCAGGAGATGCGAATTGAAAGGACGTACACTCCCAGTCATTGTCAGCATTGTTCAAAAGATGACCTCCAACGAACACACTTCCAAAACTGGTGTTGGGCATGCGTTAGCTGGTCCAAGCTCCCAGCACTAGGGCAAGCCTCGTCAAGACGCAGCTGCGCGCCCCAGGAAGACCCTGCCAACCTTTGAAGCCCGTCCCATCTTACTGAAGCGTCTTGAGGAGCAACAGGTTAGTCACTGACCATACCTGACCCAGCCCCGCGTGGCACTCCTTGCAGCTTTTTCGCGATGGAAGCTGCAAGCCGCGTTTGCGATGCTTGCGGAAACGGGTGGATTCGCAACGAGGCGACACGCTGCACTCCTCAAGCCTTGAATTCGAGCCAAAGCAAATGACATCCCAATCAAGATCGATTCATCGTGCAAAAGCACACTCTGCGGGGTAGGTTGGTTGGCTTGGCTTGCCAAACTTGCCTGGAAACATGAGGGTGCGAGTCAGCGAGCTGCGCAGCTCGATCACGGATTCGGCGCGAGCTTCTGCAGGATTGGCGGCTTGAAAAGGAACTGCCTGCGCCTTCCGGGGCATATTTTGTCTCAAAGCAGACACCGCCGTTCGCCATTTCCTGCTCGCTTGAGCGTTTGGATGAAACAGGCCAGCATAGCCAGCACAGCTCACTGGGTCATTTCGAACGTTCAGGTTTGACCTTCTGAAACTCCTGCGGAGCTATCACTTTTCAGGTCATCAGGTCAGGTACAACTCCGCCCTCTGAACTACTCCAGAGCCACAAAGAATCAGAAATCTGAGCAATCGATATCAAACATCTGTTCAAGATCATAGAGAAGAAAAAGAGAGCGCAAAGTAGAGGGAAAGGCAGAATGGACAAAGACAAAGACGGAGAAACAAAGGGAGAACACGAGAGAGCGAGAGAGAGAGAGAGACGCGAAGAGAGCGCTTTGGATGAAGGCCTTTGTTGAGGCCAAAGGAATGTGTATAGTCTCCTCAGCCAGAAAGGCACAAAGGAATACAAAAAAACGTCTGGAAACATGGGCGTGCGTACGTGGATTTCGAGTGCTTCACAAAATATCCCAAGACTGCTATCGAGAGTGGCTAGAGGACCCGGAGTAAGATAGTCACTTGACCAGCGTGGCATTGCCTAGGTTAAGCTTTGCACCCAGGGTGCCAGAAGCGTGGTGCCCCCATGGCTTCCACTGAGAGGTTCTTGAAGCAATGATCGGATTTGCCATGGGAGTGCCGGTGCCTCAGTGAAATTCGAGCAGGGTGACACGTTCCCCAGGCCTACACTTCAATGCTCCAATACTGCCAGATGTGAACTGCACGCATGTAGAGCAAGTCCCACGCGTTGCACGTGCAGCACTGGTGCGAAGTGTGTTGCTTGGGCTTTTGGCATCCTATTGCAGTCGAGAATCTCAATGAGAGCTTACCGTGTGGGAAAGGTTTGCAGCCATGCTGGGGTACAAGTTTCTGCATCTATGCCAGACTGACAGCTCACCTGGTTCTGGCTGCTACAGAGCTTTGAATTAACAAACGGCAGGCCATGCTTCCATTCCAATTCCGCCGCGGTCTGTTCACTCGAGGCGGTTCACATTGTCCAAAACCTGAATCCATACGGCCATGCGAGTCCGCCTCCCAAAGCTGGCGCGAGCGAGACATTGCCTCCCAAGTCTGGGCCTAATGTCTGCAAACCCTCAATCCCTTGACCCAAGCCTTATAGCCGGAAAGCTATCCGGTCCAACACTTGTCAATGCCCAAGGAGCGCAGGCAGTTACATGCTTGGTGCCTCCCACATGTTTGTGCTGATTCACAAAAACAGATCATGGGGCGTGATAGGCATATTTGGCGTATCGACAGTCCAAGCAGCGTGAGGCCGACCATGATGTAAGCAGCAATGAGCATAGCGCCCTCGAGCCAGTTGGACCTCAAGCTTCAGCAAAGCATCCTCAAGGCTTCTTGGAATGGCCGTCCGGCAAGAAACAAGAAGCAGCTCACTTGCCCGTAACTCACGCACACAGAAATATACGTGAATAAAATCTATCAGCTCCCAAGAACTGCATGAACCAAATTTGCGGCCAACCCAAGGCCCCAGCTCTCCGTCACTGGTGACGCTGCCCACCTTGCACCGGATGAATCGGCTACATCGCAGGGATCAACTGTTGTTTGGCTCTCGCCCCAATGCACGGCTACATACTCCGATGCAGGGGTGCGCCTTTTTGTTTTCACTCAGCACAGTTGGAGCTTCTCCCAGGTCCCAGCCAAACTTGATAAAGCTTTCCTCTAGGGTCCTCACGGTCCCAACCAGCTCAAACTAAGAAGAACGCCGTCCTTGTTGACGTATGTTAACAATGCAGGGTGCAATGAGAAAACATTGGGCGGTGATGTTGCGAAGGGGGTGGGCACTTTGTCCTCAGCCTGTGTCACCAATCTCCTCCGCGAATCGTGGGGGACGCAAAAAATGATAGAGCCCTCTGCCCTCAAGCAAACAACACGAGCAAGCAATCAAGAACAGAGCGGCAACGAACACTGCACAAAAATGACTGGATCTACCTGTGTCGCTTCACAACCCGACGTCTGAGGGCCTGGTGGCCATGCTATCCTTCCTTTTTGCTCCTTCGAATTGAAGAATTACAGGAATCTGTTCAGTTGCGCTGGTAGCAACCAAGCTCGTTGGAAAAAATGGCACGCCTTCAATAAGAGCATATACAGTAAGAGCTCAGTATTTCCATATGGTCTCTACCATGTCTACTGAGCCAGGATGCTAGCTGATGCATGCTGTGCCCCTTTCGTCCAGGAAGCCCAGACTGGTATGCCTCGAGGTACTGAGACTTTCCCCACAACTCGTCCTTTGTGATAGGGCATCATTTCGGGCGAAACAGTCGCTCTCAGGGCGCTCTGAGCATCCGAGCAATCAGCACTGTGACCAGCAAAATTCCAGTACCCAGCGGTCGGAAGTTCAAGTCCTGGCGAGAGGGTCGAAAGAAATTGGTGGATGTGGGCGCGTTGCTTTGCAATCGAGACTCCATCTGTCCCGCTGATTCGGATCGCGCAAGTGCAACAATATCTGCATGATGCTTATGTAGTGTAGCACGCCCAAGGGCTGGAAAAAATCAAGTCAGCCTGTGTTCAAACTCAGACTCCACTCTAGAAGAGCAAAATAATGCCCGGGGACAAATGGGTAAAGCTTGGGGCTGCAGTTACCTTTAGGGCATTCCTGGAGCAAGCAGCGGAAACTAAAAGCCATCCAAGACGTTGTCTGCTCCACACAATTCTACTGAGCAACTTTGTTGAAAATGCAAAACGGGAGCAGTTTGAAATGTTGAGATGAAAATTGGAGTATGATATATATATATATTAGAAAGAGGCCTTGGCGTGTTCTGCCTGTGGAGTCCATGCGGCTCCATGCCAGCTGGCCATGTGCCAAGAAATACCACAGCTTCGTCAGTTTGCGGCTCCGCTCACTCCAGGGCGCTGGCCATCGGAACTCCAATGGCCCAGCCGGCCAGGACCTGAATGCAAATGCAGGGGTTGGCTCCTCAAACATGTTTCAGCAGATGTATGACCCGTATGACGTCTAAGAAAGACATGGGAGAGGGGACCATTTGAGCGTGTGGCAAAGTGCAAAGCGGCGTCATTCTGAATCTGTCATGCTCTTCCTGCATGGGACGCGGACGGTGAAAGGCACCACCAGCAGGGCGATCTGAGAGGAAGAGCCCAAGGCTACACCAAGGGACAGGTCCATCTTGTTCTTCATAGCTACGTCCACCTTGGGCGCTTTTCAATCGCATCGAGTCGCTTGGGCTGACTAGCTGACCGTTTCGGCCACACCGGTTCCTCAATGGCATGCAGCATGGTATCAAGCAGGAATCGCTGGGATACGCCTGTTCTGACTCTGACCGCCTACCTTTCAACTACCCCCCTCTGTTGAACTGCGCTATGTATGAATCCAGTTCAAGGCATGGACTTAAGAGAAGAATGACTCACATTGCCCACAGATGTCTCTGTTGTGTGATTGCCCAACGTGGGTGTTCGCATGAGACCAGCTGTGCATACCACCTATTCAGAGAGCCTGTTAGAAAATGGTCCATGGGTCTGCGTTCCATGCCCGAATATGTTCGTCCTTTGGGGAACCTTTTGCAGAATCTTCAAAAAGATAACTTGGAGACAAGCCCGTCTGAGCTCTGGCACAGCTGTGAGATGCTCAGCAGCGTTGCCGACGATGGGCAGAAGGATCTCGGCGTTCGGAGCCACTCAAAAACCATAGTCGGGTAAACCTTCAAACACGGCCACCAAAAAAAACAAGTGGCTTGGGCGGCATTAGTTGCACTGAATTGCAGCCAAGTGCACCACACCAATGAAGTGTTCTGAGATGCCCATGTTCTTGGTGATGCCCTGCCATGCGCATTGATTCCAATGTTTGGGCGCTTGTCCAACGCTTGCTGGAACCTAAGTGGACACTGGTTTCCCGCGGCAAAACGCACATCTCTCCCTGACAAAGGCCGCAAACCGCGATTCCAACACATTGGCCAGTGCCAGCGCTGCGGCGGTCTACGGGGTGCTGGCTGGAGCGCTCTCAAATGCTGTCTGCCTTTCTAGCTGCAAGAGGGCAAGTCAGAAGTGCTCTGTTGCGCAGTTGCCTTGACGGCCGAGAGCAGTGCTGTAATCAGGGTTTTCTGCTGGCCATGTGTGCGTGCCTGATCACCAGCCAACGTTATCCAAGTATGCCGTGTTGTATGTTGCTCATCATGCGATGTGTATGGGACGTTCGTGCCTGCGTTTGAGTCTCAATGGGTGCGCCCATCATTGGTCAAGGCCACACTTGGCAGGGAATGATGTCCAAGAGTTTCTGCTGACGGCACGCAGGCATTGGTGGTGAAATATGAATGTTTGGTGATAATGTGCGATGTGTGAGTGTCTGCTGCTGCTGCTGCTGCTGCTGCAGCAGCAGCTGCTGCTGCCTTAGGACAGTGCACAAGAGCTTGGGTCAATAAGGTTCCATCTACCACTGCAAAAATGGCTTGCAACCAACCCCGCAGCTTCTTCACAAAAGGGGTGGAGGCTAGCTTTTCTGCTTAGCTGGGTCTGTGTTGTGATAGCGCGCGTGTGTGTTGTGTGTTGTGAGTTGTGTGTTGCGTGTTGCGTGTTGCATGTTGCGTGTTGCGTGTTGGCGTGTTGGCGGCGTGTTGGCGGCGTGTTGGCGGCGTGTTGGCGGCGTGGTGGCGGCGTGTTGTTGGCGTGTTGTTGGCGTGTTGTTGGCGTGTTGCTGGCGTGTTGTTGGCGTGTTGATGGCGTGTTATTGGCGTGTTGTTGGCGTGTTGTTAGCGTGTTGTTGGCGTGTTGTTGGCGTGTTGTTGGCGTGTTGTTGGGGTGTTCTTGGCGTGTTGTGCTGGCGTGTTGGTGGCGCGTTGGTGGCGCGTTGGTGGCGCGTTGGTGGCGCGTTGGTGGCGTTGGCGCGTTGTTGGCGCGTTGTTGGCGCGTTGTTGCTGCGTTGTTGGCGTGTTGTTGGCGTGTTGTTGGCGTGTTGTTGGCGTGTTGTTGGCGTGTTGTTGGCGCGTTGTTGGCGCGTTGTTGGCGCGCTGTTGGCGCGTTGTTGGCGCGTTGTTGGCGCGTTGTTGGCGCGTTGTTGGCGCGTTGTTGGCGCGTTGTTGGCGCGTTGTTGGCGCGTTGTTGTCGTGTTGTTGGCGTGTTGTTGGCGTGTTGGTGGCGTGTTGTTGGCGTGTTGTTGGCGTGTTGTTGGCGTGTTGCTGGTGAGTGTCTGGCGTGTTGTTGGCGTGTTGTTGGCGTGTTGCTGGCGTGTTGTTGGCGCGTTGTTGGCGCGTTGTTGGCGTGTTGTTGGCGCGTTGTTGGCGTGTTGTTGGCGTGTTGTTGGCGTGTTGTTGGCGTGTTGTTGGCGTGTTGCTGGTGAGTGTCTGGCGTGTTGTTGGCGTGTTGTTGGCGTGTTGTTGGCGTGTTGTTGGCGTGTTGTTGCCGTGTTGTTGCTGTGTTGTTGGCGTGTTGTTGCCGTGTTGTTGGCGTGTTGTTGGCGCGTTGTTGGCGTGTTGTTGGCGCGTTGTTGGCGCGTTGGCGTGGTTGGCGTGGTTGGCGTGGTTGGCGTGGTTGGCGTGTTTGGGTGTTTGGGTGTTTGGGTGTTTGGGTGTGTTTGGGTGCGTTTGGGTGCGTTTGGGTGCGTTTGGGTGTGTTTGGGTGTGTTTGGGTGTGTTTGGGTGTGTTTGGGTGTGTTTGGGTGTGTTTGGGTGTGGTTGGTGTGGTTCGGTGTGTTTGGGTGTGTTTGGGTGTGTGTGTGTGTGTGCGTGTGTGTGTGTGTGTGTGTGCGTGCGTGCGCGTGCGTGTGTGTGTGTGTGTGTGTGTGTGTGTGTGAGTGCGTGTGCGCGCGCGTGATCGCGCGCGCGCGTGCGTGTGTGTGTGTGCGTGTGCGTGTGCGTGTGCGTGTGCGTGTGCGTGCGCGTGCGCGTGCGCGTGCGCGTGCGCGTGCGCGTGCGCGTGCGTGCGTGCGTGCATGCGTGGGTGCGTGGGTGTGTGTGTGTGTCTGTGTGTGTCTGTGTGTGTGACTGTGTGTGTCTGTGTGTGTCTGTGTGTGTCTGTGTGTGTCTGTGTGTGTCTGTGTGTGTGTCTGCGTGTGTCTGCGTGTGTCTGTGTGTGTCGGTGTGTGTCGGTGTGTGTCTGCGTGTGTCTGTGTGTGTGTCTGTGTGTGTGTGTGTCTGTGTGTGTGTGTCTGTGTGTCTGTGTGTCTGTGTGTCTGTGTGTCTGCGTGTCTGTGTGTCTGCGTGTCTGCATGTCTGCGTGTCTGCGTGTCTGCGTGTCTGCGTGTCTGCGTGTCTGCGTGTCTGCGTGTGTGTGCGCGTGTGTGCGTGTATGCGTATATGCGTGTATGCGTGTATGAGTGTATGGGTGTATGCGTGTATGCATGTGCGTGTGCGTTGTGTGCGCGTGTGCGTGTGCGTGTGCGTGTGCGTGCGGGTGTGCGTGTGCGTGTGGGTGTGCGTGTGCGTGTGCGTGTGCGTGTGGGTGTGTGCGTGTGTGCGCCTTACAACATCCCGGCTATAATAATCATATTGTATAAGGGTGGCATCTGCTCAGCTCTGCCATCTCGCCGCATTATGTTCCTTTGCTTACCTACGTTTATGTGCCCAAACCAGCTCTTCTGACTAAACTCTGCACATGATGAAACGTCCAAACTGCGAACCCAATGCAGCAAGCTGAACAATGCCGAACACAAGCATACCACTGGCAAATCTACACCCTCGCATCACAGGTCTCCCATACACCGAGCAGTGCAACTTGCCATAGTTGGCAAAATAGACTTCAGCAAATCACAAATTTAACCAATGCCACTAAGAGAAGGCGCACCTTGGTCATTGATCTTCCAGTAAGTATGTCTAGGCTTTCGCGTAAAACCACGGTCAATACTGGCAACTGCTTGGAAATCCCGCGTTCGCACTTGAAAAACAAAACTGCTTTGAGATTTGCGGAAAGGACAAACACATTGCGACCGATTCGGGCCCTCCGAATTTGGCGCTCGCCTCCACACTGTTTACCAGGCCCTCTGAACAGACTCCCACGGCGAGGGTGATGAACATCAACAGCCTGACAATCGCCACAAGTCTGTGTTGAACTTGATGTTTCTGCTCAAAGCAAATCAAAGTGTTGCAGAGAGCCAGCACTGATCCCCGGCCCCTTTCGGTCAGTTCTGCCTTCCGGACTTCAAGTTGGTGTGTTGCGCGTCCTACCTCCCTTTCCCAACCTGCCACTTGCTTTGGCACATTGCACCCACAAAAAAGGGCGTCACCAGCTCTTATCTCTCCTCAAACACCTGTCATGAAGCGTTGCAATTGACTGCTGCACCTTTGTATTGGACATATAGAACTGTAAACTTGTAAACAAAAGCACCCCCACCTTCCTGATTCCTCCTTCCAGCAATGCAATTTCACGCAAGCCCTCTCCGTGAGGTCTTGGGGTACTATGTTTGTGAAGATGATGACTTCCCACTGCGCAAATCAACACAGTGCATCCCCCTACCAGTCCATCGCATCCCTCTCAGCGTCCCAGCACTGCAGCCACAAATGGGTGCACTGGCTCCTCAGGCGTGTTTCACAGCGTTCTTCCAGTTTGGGCCCTGCGCCCAAACGCGAACAGTCACCAAACAATTTGGCATGCCAGAAAGTGTGTGTGTGTGCCAATAACCAATAGAGAAAAAACAAGAGAGAGAAAGCAAAAACACTGAAAGAGCAAAACCTTTGGCCGATAGTGGCTACAGCGCTCGGTGCAACCGACTCCTCCGCCCCTTCTTCGCCGCCGTCGTTCTCCGTCTGCGGGCGGTCAGGCGCGCAGCGAGTCCGAAACCAACCGCCAATCGTCAGCAAGATAAGCTAAACAATTGCGGGTTGCTTCTTGATTCCTGAACACATAATTGAAACTGTTCAAAGGGATGATGGATGACTCGGCAGAAAAAGATACATTCACATACACACACCACATATACTATCATAAGCTTAGAAACACCTTCGCTTACATGCCAGCGCATAACATCACATGTACAAACGCAGACACATATGCATACATACCTACTTACATACATACATGCATACGTACATACATACATTACCGTACATTACATTACATTACATTGCATTACATTGCACTACATTGCATTACGTTACATTGCACTACATTACATTACATTACATGAAACTACATTACATTGCGTTGAATTGCATTGTATTGCATTGCAATGCATTGAAGGACATTGCATTACATTACATTGCACTGCGTTGCATTACATTACATCGCATTACATTATATTACATTACAAAAGATGTAATGTAATATAATGCAATTCAATGTAATGTATGTCATGTATATATGTATGTATGTATGTATGTGAGTGTATGTATGTATGTACGTATGTCTGTAATGTATGCAGGTATGTATGTATGTATGTATGTATGTGTGTATGTTTGTATGTGTGTATGTATATATGTGTCTATGTAATGTATGCACGTCATGGAATGTAATGTAATGTATTGTAATGTATGTAGTGTAATGTAATGTGATGTAGAAAAATGTAATGTAATCTAGTGAAATGTATTGTAACTTAATGTAATGCAAATCAATGTAGTGTAATGCAATGTAATTTGATACATTACATTACATTACATTAACATTCAATCACATTACATTGCATTGCGTTGCATTACATACACACTTACATTACGTTACATTAAATTACATGACATTATGATATAGTACATTACATTACAATACATTACATTACATTGCATTACATTACATTACATTACATTGCATTACATACATGCATACATACGTACAGTACATACATACACTACATTACATTACATTAACTTACACTGCACTACACTTCACTGCGCTACACTACATTACATACATACATACACTACATACATACATACATACATACATACATAAACTACATGCATACATACACACATACATTACATTACATTACATTGCATACATACACACATACACAAATACATACATACATACGTACATACATACATACATACATGACATACATACATACATACATACATACATGACATACATACATACATACATACATACATACGTACATATATACATACATACATACATTACATTACATTACATTACATTACACACATACATACATACATACCTACATAAACTACATGCATACATACATTACATTACATTACATTTCATTACATTACACTACATTACATTACATTCCATGACGTGCATACATTACATACATATATATATACATACACACATACAAACGTACACACATACATACATACATACATACATACCTGCATACATACAGACATACGTACATACACTCACATACATACATACATACATATAAAAACTACATACATTACATTGAATTACACTATATTACATCACATACATTACATTACACTACATTAACATTCAATCACATTACATTGCATTGCGTTGCATTACATACACACTTACATTACGTGAAATTAAATTACATTACATTATATTATAGTACATTACATTACAAAACATTACAATACATTACGTTACATTGCATTACATTACATTACATTGCACTACATACATGCATACATACGTACATTACATATACACATTACATTACATTACATTACATTAACTTACACTGCACTACACTTCACTGCGCTACACTACATTACATACATACATACATACATACACTACATACATACATACATACATACATACATAAACTACATGCATACATACATACATACATATTTTACATTACATTACATTGCATACATACATACATACACAAATACATACATACATACGTACATACATACAGACATACATGACATACATACATACGTACATACATACATACATACATACCTATATACATACATACATACACACATACATACATACATACACACGCACATACATACATACATACGTGCATACATTACATACATACATACATACATACATACATACATACATACATACATACATACATTACATACATTCTTACATTACATTACATTACACTACATTACATGACATTACATTAATACATACATACATACATACGTCCGTACATACATACATTACATTGCATTGCATCACCTTGCATTACCTTACATACATGGCTTCATACGTACATACATACATACATACAAACAGACATACATACATACATTACATACATTACATACATTACATACATACAAACATACATACGTACGTACGTACGTACATACATACATTACATTGCATTGCATTGCAATACATTACATTACATTACATCACATCAATACACACATGCATACATACGTACATACATGCATACATACATGTACATACATACATACATACATACATACATACATACATACATACATACGTACATACATACATACATACATTACATACATAAACACATACATACATACATTCCATAGCATGCATACATACCTACATCATTTAATTACAACATACATACATACATACATACGTTACGTGCATACATACATACATGCAGTACATTACATTACATTACAATACATACATACATACATAGATGCATACATACATAAATACATACATGCGTGCATACATACATGCATACATACATTACACACATACATACATACATGCATTACATTGTATTACAATACGTTACATTACATTACACTACATTACATTACATACATACGTACATACATACATAATAAACACATACATACATACATACATACATTACATACATAGATACATACATACATACATACATAAATACATACATACATAAATACATACATACATGCATGCATACACAAATACATACATACATTACGTGCATACATACATACATACATGGCATGACATGACATTACATTACATTAGATTACAATGCATTACATTACTTCAATACATAAAAACATAAATACATACATACATGCATGCATACATACATACATTACGTACATACATACATTACATTACATTACATTACATTACACCACATCACATCACATTACATTACATTACATTACACACATGGCAGTTGATCAATATTCCTGTTTCCGGAAAACGCCATCTTCGCGAGAAAAAAGTTTCTTTCGCGAATCTTTCGCGACTCCATCGCCACGTCCTTTTGTTTGCAGCGCGCGCTCTGGAGCCATTGTGGCTGCTGCAGTTATGCTTGCAAACACGGTAGCCGCAGTTCACCGTCATTCGCCCTTGCCACTTGCGCTTGCCGGCGATGTGCGGAACCTTGCAACAAGCTCCCTAGCCTTTCGCCGGTCTTTCGCGGATCTTTCGCGAAACTTGCTCCAAAACAGCCCAGCCAACATGATTGATTTGCTCCCAACACAGGCAGGGAATCAATAATGCAAGTGTAGGTGCTGCGTATCTCCCTATCTACAAGGGAGCGGGGTCTGCAAATATGTATGTAAGTGCACAGGCTTGCCTCCAAGAATCCAACGCGGAATCTTTCGCGAAAAAATATGTTTCTTTCGCGAACTCCATCGCCGATCTTTCGCGGAGGGACTTAAGCCAAGACAAATGGTCACCGAACACATAACTCCTTGCAAGGACCTTTTGATCAACCCCCACATACATACGTGCATACATACATACATGCATTACGTACATACATACATACATGCATTACATACATACATACATACATACATGCATACATACGTTACATTACATTACATTACATTACATTACACATTACACATTACATTACATACATTACATTACATTACATTACATTACATTACATTACATTACATTACATACATTACATTACATTACATTACATTACATTACATTACATTACATTACATTACATTACATTACATTACATTACATTACATACATACATACATACATTACATTACATTACATTACATTACATTACATTACATTACATTACATTACATTACATTACATACATACATACATACATACATACATACATACATACATACATACATACATACATACATACATACATACAGTACATACATACATACATTACATACATACATTACATTACATTACATTACATTGCATTGCATACATACACCTTACATACATAACATAACATAACATAACCTAACATACATAACATACATACATACATACATACATACATACATACATTACATACATTACATACATTACATACATACATTCCATACATACATTACATACATACATTACATACATACATTACATACATACATTACACTACATACATGCATACATACGTACATACATACATACATACATTACATTACATTACATTACATGACATTACATTACATGACATTACATTACATTACATACATACATACATACATACACACACATACATACATACATACATACCTACATACATACATACATACATTACATACATACATACATACATTACATTACATTACATTACATTACATACACATTACATTACATTACATTACATACATACATACATACATACATACATACATGCACATGCATACATACATACATACATTACATACATACCTACATACCATACCATTACATACATACATGACATACATACATACATACATACATACATACATACATACATACATACATACATACATACATACATACATACATACATACATACATACATACATACATACATACATACATACATACATACATACATACATACATACATACATACATACATACATACATACATACATACATACATACATACATACATACATACATACATACATACATACATACATACATACATACATACATACATACATACATACATACATACATACATACATACATACATTCATTACAAACATACATACGTACATACATACATTGCATTACATTACATTACATTAATGCATACATACATACGTAAGTACATACATACATACATGCATTACATACATACATGCATAAATACATACATACATACTTACAGTACATACATACATACATACATACATTACATACATACATACATACATACATACATACATACATACATACATACATACACACGCAAATACATACATACATACATACATACATACATACATACATACATACATAGATAGATAGATACATACATACATACATACACACGCACATACATACATAGATACATACATACATACCTAGATACATGCATACATACATACATACATACATAAATAGATTTCACTAAAATACATTAGATTACATTACATTACATTACACTACATGACATTACGTTACATCACATTGCATTGCATACATACATACATTACATACATACATACATACGTACGTACATACATACATAGCATAGCATAGCATAGCATAGCATAGCATTGCATTGCATTACATTGCATTACATTGATACATACATACATACATACATACATACATACATACATACATACATACATACATTACATACATACATAGATACATACATACATGCACATATACATACATACATACATACATGCATACATAACATTCATTACATAGATTACATACATGCATACATACATACATACATACATGCATACATACATACATACATACATACATACATACATACATACATACATACATACATACATACATACATACATACATACATACATACATACATACATACATTACATTACATTACATTACATTACATTACATTACATACATACATACATACATACATACATACATACATACATACATACATACATACATACATACATACATACATACATACATACATACATACATACATACATACATACATACATACATACATACATACATACATACATACATACATACATACATACATACATACATACATACATACATACATACATACATACATACATACATACATACATACATACATACATACATACATACATACATACATACATACATACATACATACATACATACATACATACATACATACATACATTACATTACATTACATACATTACATTACATTACATTACATTACATTACATTACATTACATTACATTACATTACATTACATTACATTACATTACATTACATTACATTACATTACATTACATACATACATACATACATTACACACACATACATCCATCCATACATACATACATACATACATACATACATACATACATACATACATACATACACACATACATACATACATACATTACATTACATTACATTGCATTACATTACATACATACATTAAATATCTATATAAACACACATACATACATACATTACATTACATTACACTACAGTGCATTACATTACATTACATTACATTACATCTCATTACATCACATCACATGACATCACATTACATACATACATACATGCATTACATACATGCATGCATGCATACATACGTACATACATGCATGCATGCATACATACATACATACATACACTACATACATACCGTACTTACATTCATACATTACATTACGTTACATTACATTACCTTACGTTACGTTGCATTATTACCATACCTACATACATACATCACATAACATAACATAAATACATTCATAGATTACAGTACGTTATATTACATTGCATTACATTGCCTTACATTACATTACATACATGAATATATAACATAACACAACAGAACTACCTTCATACCTACATACATACATGCATTAATCACATACATACATCCATCCATCCATTCATTCATCCATGCATGCATGCATGCATGCATGCATGCATGCATGCATGCGTACCAACACATACATACAATTACATTACGTACATTCCATCAATGCATGCATGCATATATATATAACATAACAACACAACATTACATTGCATGGTATTGCATTGCATTAGGACACACACACTCACACATACAAGCACAACACACACACACACGAATAAGAGGCACATGTGCTCACACAAACACAAACACACATGCAGTGGAAACGAGTGGGCAAAAGCATCTACAGTACCCCTGCAGAATCACCCCTACAAAAAGCGCACGTGCAACCAACGCATGTGCGCGCGCTCACATCCAAACACCACTGTTCAACACTCAATATGTACATGTGCACATATCTAGAAAGTGTACACATAATGTACACACCCTAGAAGAACAACTGCGTAAAGATACGCAAACGCAAACCCGCATAAACAAACACACTTGCGTACACTATCACAAACTGCAAGCAATACCACGCAAATGGAACCAACGTTACACGCTATTACCGCACGTGCATACAGTAGCATAGCCCCAACCACGCACACACATATATATATAGAAAATAAACAGGCAAAAAAGCAAACTGACAAACGGACAAACAAACAAGACCCAAACCAGCACTAAGAGCAAAACACAAAAAACAAGCCAACGGACAAAAAACAAAGAAACAAAGAAAGAAACACAGAAAACACAAGCCGAAGAATATACACATTCCGACATCATGCCAGACCGCATGATTGATTTTCAGCACCTCAAAACGAGCACCAAAGGTCTCCTGCCTCAATGTGTAATAGAAACAACCGTCCACTGGCTACACAACTGGACCTATCAACGCGCGCAGTCGCACATTCTTTCTTGACAGTTGACGAGCAGACAGGGCCACAGGCAGTGCACCCCGCTTCCTTTGCTTGAACAGAACAACTCAACGGTGCGGCGCACCCATCCCGAAACAGCCCAAGCGCAGAAACCAGATGGGAATTGTGTTGCATTGCATCAACCACGTTTCATCAATCGCAGTGAGCACGCAATCATGACGTGGATACCAGAGCGCATGTTGGCACCTTCATGTACATATGCAGTTGCTTGCCCCATCACATTCGCAATTTGCAGATCAAGATTATGTGCTTGTCCTTCCGAGGGACTGCATTACCACTGGATCTCCTGCTGTCAAGTCCTGGGCTTGCACTGCACCCAGCCTCGAAGTAATCCTTATGCGTTCTGAGCTGAAAGATCAGGTACAGGCCTCGCTGGTGATAGCCGTAATTGCTATTTCTTGTTCGGACAAATGAATGCGGGAAATGTTGGCCCTGTTGGCTGGGAGTTTGCAGGGGCCGGGTGCAGAATTTAGTGGGAGAAAAGCCTCAGCTGATACTTCAAGACATGGCTGCAAACAGCTCCATTGCCTCTTGTGCGAAACATGAGTGCTTGGTGACGTGTGTTTACATGATCCACTGGCCAAACTCACGCAGCTGGGTCACCATAGAGGACTCCCATGATGATTGCTGCGCCTGGCCGAGAGTCATAGGCCAAATTCAGCCAAGAAGGAGAATGCTCCAGCTGTCGCAATTTGCTAGAATTCTTCGATGAGTGGTTCAAGCGCAAAACATGTTTCAACAATCTGGGGTGTGCGGAATCTTGGACCCTGCAAAAAGCTTCGCGGGTAGGCCAAGTCCGCCAAGTCAGACGATTTCAGCAGCAGAATTAAATTGAACCTCTTAGATCGCAGAACACGTCGAGTACATTCAGATCTGAGGCCCGATAGTGGAACAATAGCGACTTCAACACCAATGTTGCGGCCGCAGCCTTCAATGGAAACAAGGTGCAAAAGACAAGACGCCACAGTTGCCCAGAAAACGTCCAAGGATGGCGCATGATTTATCTGCAAGGTCGACACAAAAATGTGATAAATGTGATGCTGAGAGCATTTCATGAGCTATGGGACTTTGGCTCAGCCGGCCTCGTGACATCTGCAAGGATATCCCTTCCTCACCTGGGCCGTGGCAGTTGGGTGTTCGTCAGCTGGCATTCCAACTATGCGCTCCACGTGGAGATTGTTCAGGGCTTTTATACTATCCACATGAGCATTGCCCCTCCCTCACAAAAGAAAAGAAACAAAAATGGCTTCCTGTTGGTCTGGTGGCAAGAGACCTGTTCAGAAGCGCAAGCACAGGATGTAGTGCAGTGATGCCAGGTTGCAACAGCAAAGGGGGCGGTCTTGGCTAGCCAAAAGCGACTTTGGGATCAAGCCATTTGGGAATGGCTCGGGTTTTCTCTACAAGAATCTGAGCTGTGCTATGGCCCCAACTGAAACGGTACATGTGGATTCAACGTTGATGAATCGTTCACCATTGCCCTTCTGAGCTGTGACCAGTATCTGTTGTAATGTCCCACCAGCTCCAGAGTAGCAACTATCTCTTGCCACATGCGCTCTGCCTATTTCCCAATTCTTGACTCCTGATGAAAGCGCCATCACCGGAGTACAACACCGTGGGTGGTCAATTGCAACCCAGTTAAATCTTCTCCACCTCATCCCGTGAACGTGCCCCACTTCCGGGCTGCCGTGCTCGACACCACGCCCACAAGGGAAGGGATGACCATGGCCAGCACCTCGCAGATGGCTCGCTGGCAGGGTGGGGGTTCGCTGGCCAAACTCGGGCGAGATCTCAGGGTGGGCTAGGTCACCAGGTCACATTGTCTCACCATCTTAGCAGGTTTAGACCGGAACTGACCGCTTCGAGGTCCGGGGCCAGCACAGAGAGCAGTAGCAGGTTGGACTGCACGCGGGCACCATCCGCGTTGTACTTCTGCTTGTGATACTTGATTCCACCTGCGAGAGGGCAAGCCGGCACCCAACCTCTTTGAGATTGCGGCTATACTGGTATACCCTTGAATCCACTCACGTCTTTGGTGCATCACTCAGGCACCAGCCGAAGAAGAAGCACATGCCTAAAACCTGAGACCAAGCGGGAGTCCGGTTCATACTACTTTAGAAAGCTGGTGATTATTCTTGGCAGCAATAGCCGGCTGTAAGGGCTGCTCCCTGGAGCACAGGAGTCTGCCAGATTCAGGGCAACAAGATCAATGACACCTCCGAAACAGGTTGTGGATTGATAAACATATAGCCCTCTTCCAACTGCACAGGACCACAAATTGCAACTTAGGATATGGCATAAAGGCGGTTGGCAGGGTTGATTTGAACCTACACTTTGTTGTTGCCAGCACGTGAGACAGCGCTGATGTCCCTTTCAAGGATCAGTCTTCATTCCGTTTGCTTCCCTACCGTCTCCCTCTGAGGCAAAGGCCAAAAGGAGATTACTCAGGACACTTCCCAGCAAGCTGCCCTGGACCACTGTCACCAGGCCCTGACAACGTCGCTCCATGCACCCATCTTTTGCAACGCAGATTCTGTTCGGCCAATAAGGAAAAAAATGCTAAAAAGGGCAGTTCCTTGGTCAGCTTCAGCCTTCTGATCGACTGCAAGCTGGTGCATCTGTGACCAAAACAGGCTCCCTGCAACAAAGAATACGCAAAAGTAGCACAGCTTGTTTGGATCCTCTATCCCATCCCATTTACCAAGATTGCATTGAAAGGTGAACCCATTCACACAAGCACTCCAGGCTCGGAGTGCTATCTTTCTCTGCTTTGGCTAGTCTGGTGGAAATACCAAAGAAGTGAATTATCCGAACAACAGAGAGTATGAATCGTGCATGCTAGGCTTCGCCTCAAGTCTGAGGCTCGCTTCTTCCTTGCAACATGTGGCGTCCAAAAGAGATAGGCAAGCTCAAGGCACTTCGCGCCGTTTGCCAAAGGTTGCCATACCATGACATGTGGGTATGTCAAATAGGGGAACACCAAAAATGGTATTCCTGTTTCCCTTTAAACAACCTCAAAATGGTGTCCTCAAAAAGAAGACAACCCCTCTCTTCATTTGTGGATCCAAACTCCACGCAAGGCCTTCTTCAGAGCAAAAACTGAGAGAAGCATCTCCACCGCGTTTCCTTGGCTTGAACAGCTTCTCCGGGCATCTGACACTTGCCAAGTGAAGTATGCTCACCCTCTTTTGAGCCACCTGGAAATGGCACCTCAGGCTCGGCTTGCGACAATTGGTACCAACTAGGGAAGCAAATAGGTTCTATGCACCACGCGTTCTTCAAGACCGCTCAGGGCTGGATTGCTACCAAAAAGGGGGTGAGTGCTAATTTTCTGCACCCAAGTCTCCGAAAGACGCATTCAAGAGCCCACCCAGCGTCTCCTCGGTGCAGGCACGATGTGTGTACCGTTGCCCTTACAAAAAGTGTGCCCTTTGAAGCCACCCACTACTCACATCGCCCAAGGCCTAAGCACGAAGCCTCGAGATGTCCCTAGCCAACCACAACTGTGCTGAGAGCTTTACACTTAAAAACAGAAATACATCCTTTACATTCACTAGATACTTATGTGGTCATCTTTGGCCGCTTCTGGCGGTTGTTCGCTTTCCAGGCCATGCGGCACCAACACTGTCGGCGAGCTCTTCAGTTGCCGTCCCTGGCTGCGTCTCAGGTTCCACTGGTAAACGTGGGTGAAAAGATTCTCACCAAAGGGCATGGGGATAGCTCAACCAGCTGAAGTGGTTGATGCTGTACCTAAAATTGGAACGAGTCATTTAAGATGCAGCTTGGGCATGTTTCCAACAGCCATCTGAAAAATGCCGGTTTGACTTGCCAAAATCGATGCGCTCCCTGCCTAGCATTTTGGCCATTGGCAAGATGGCCAAGAAGTTCAGGCTAAAAATAGCCTGCAGACGCAAACCACTTCTCAGGCCCGGAAAAAGAGCTGTGCGCAGTTTCTGTGGTGCATCAGTTGCTCTTTTCTACGTAGGCTGCGGTGGTGACAATGTCGACTTGCCTATGTACAAACAAAAGTGCCGTCCAGACTTGCTACACACTCGGTTGCGTGCCCTTCAGCCCAACCACTCGTTCCAATAAAATGGGCCAGGAGAACAGGTCGGTTCTGCCCAGAAAATGCTCACAATTTGCCGTCAAGGAATTCACCCAATCCAGTGGGAATGCAAGCCGCATGAAGGGCAAGCTGGATCTTGAAAATACACCTTCTTGGTGACAGTCTGCTTCTGCTGTTCAAAAGCAGCAAAGACTCGAAAACGAAGCAGCCAAAGGCAGTCGGTGACCTTTCAAATGGCTCCTGTTGCTCAATGCCAGTGAATCAAGACTCTTGAATGGCTTGCCGGTCTCCCAAGGCCTATGGCTACTTGGCCCCAGCTACAGCCCGAAGATCCAACTCAGATCTTCCATCTCAATGTGCGCATCCTGGCAGCGCAGCATCGATACCAATCGGAGCGTGCCCAAAAGGAGCTCAAAGACCACTACCCGCCAGTTCTGGCTGAGGTCAATTTGTCCACACACGATAGTTCCCAACAACCTCCTGAGTTCATTGATCGACAAGAACTAACCGTTTGCATGAGGTGTTTGCCAACACATGGTATTTCAGAATTCTACCATTGATTGCCTAGCGTTGCCTCTAGGCAGGTGGCAGTTTCCAGAGCCATACCCTTTCCAATAATCACGGAAGTGGACAGGGAACCTTGACAACAACCCAACCGGGAAAGCAGAAGAAAAAGGAAAAAGCAATGAGCAAGTCAACTCGCGGCCTCCGCCTGCGTCTCTGCTAGCGAGCTTGCGCCGCAAAGCCTGCACTTCACAGAAGGAAACAGTTCAAGTGCAGAGCTGGAGAGTCTGCATGAACCTCAATGACTCAACCCTCACGCCTGTTCAACGTCAGTCTGACTGGAGGGATTGCGATGCTGCCGGTGCGAGCCAACATTGGCCCTTTGGGGCTCATAGAAAAGTACCAGCTCAGGGCTAGAAAACATGATTGGTCCGCATGGGTCCCTCTCGACTTCCCTCCTCTGGATGGACTGGTGGAGGCTATCTGCCCCGCAGCTCGTGGTCAGCTCCGAAATCTCCGGCTGGCAGCCCTTGGGCGGTTCGGTTTGGAGCCACCAAACATGCAGCTGGGGGGTGCGGAGGGCCCCACAAAGTGAATGAAAGACGGCTGAATCATTCCATGAAAGGGCATCTCCGCACAAGCAACCCACTTTCCAGGCGTCTTGCGTGGTTGCCGTGTCTTGGATCTCATGTCACGCTTTGCATTTGCTATGCGTCCGGTGAAGGGTAGTCAACCGTGGCATTCCTTTCAGCAATAACTTGTTGAATTCAGTCACAAAGGGAGATACAAAATGACATACTATGCTTCTCCTGGATGCAGGCACTTGCTCTCATCAGTGTGCACAGCAAGCAGCACAGAATGACCTGTCAGAATCCTGATACATGAAGGATCAAGAGCCTCGCAGAATCATCAAAGCGTGAAGACTGCTCTGAGACATGGGCTGCGTTGCAAAGGATCTGCACATCCTGCCGGCGGCCCGTCCGAAGCAATCAGTGCTGTCCTGTAGCTATAGTTGATCAAGGATGAGACCGAATAGTTCTCAAAACAAGTTGCCAGCGCTGTGACAAAATGATCAGAAGGAGTTTTAAGTGCTGCCGAGAAGAATGTATCGTAAAGACCTCTTCTGCTTCTTTCGCTGCCGGGAAAGAATCCTTGCTCTAAAACTTCTGGTACCTCAAACTCAACGGATATCTGAGGCAGTAGCCGGGAAAGGGGGTGCTGCACAACAAAATTACACCAGCACAAAGCCCAGATAGCATGCGAGATTGCAACAGCACCCTGACAAAGCACCTTGACCAGCACCCTGGCTGCATCGCCAAATAAGCACCGACAGCAAACACCACACCACCGTAAGCACGCCAAGCAGCGCCCTACCCCGCACCTGCCTGCACGCCAAACAAGCACCACCAGCGGCTACCGCACCTTGAGCACATCAAAGAGCACCCTCACCCCAAACGGCACCCTGACCAGCACCCTGACTGCGTCGCCAAAAAAGCACTGCCGGCAACCATCACACCACCTTCACGCCAACACCCTGCATCGCAAAACAGGCACCGCCAGTAACACCACATCACCTTGAGCGAACCCCAAACAGCACCCTGACCAGCACCAGCACCGACCTAGTCGTTGCTTTCATAATCAAAGCCTAATCGTCCAGGCTGGGACACTGTCAAGCCTGCGGATTTGTTTTGTGCATCAGTCACCATCGGTCCTTTGCATGCTTCGACTTCAAGATCTCGCGGACGATGTTGTAATGGGGAGGGCATTGGCTCGATAAGGCCAAATCCTCGTTCCTTAGGGAGACGCCAATGATGCAATTTGGATGCAACCATGTTAGCTGAATCGCCCCGGCAACTCCGTTTGATAAAGTTTGCAACCTGGGCCGTGCGGGTTAGCACTTGTGAGTCACCGGCGAAACAGGGAATAGGAAGCAGCCAACCACAGCAGGCTGGAGGCGTGAGAACGGAACCAAATCATGATTTCCCACCCCAGCATGCTGGCAAAAGACCGGAGAAACTTGAAATCTGGTGAGCAGCCCACCTCGAACAGCGCTAACATGCGGTGCCAGGGGGGGAAAAGGCATGTCGTGGCGAGTGTTGCGCTCTCAGCTTAGGATGGGTCCGGTCCGTCTTGGTTCGGGATTGCAGTCAGGTTGGCTAGCTTGATTTGGGATAGTTTGGATGGTTCAGGATGGGGTACATAGGCATCTGGACTTGGGCAGCGCTCAGCGCCGAAAGGCGATTCATGTTCGAACAGGAATGTGCGCAAGCAACAACAACTTGTTGGGGAGGGCGGCCTGAAAGCTTCATATCGGGGCGAACCAGCTCTCGGCATTGAACATGTTTTCCGTGGTTGGAGATCCAAGCTTGCCGTGCCAACTACGCCGGCCCTGCCTGCCCTAAGCTGCATCCAGGGATCATGCAAACGCGCTGCCGGTGCAGCTTTCGCAGCTCCTCTGCAGTAACCTCCGGATACTTGCACAGCTTGTCGAAGGTCCTTGCCGCAAAAAGAGGTGAGCACGCTTGAACTGAGAACCCCACCACCACGTGAGAGGGCGAAGGCGTTCTTGCTTGGCTGTACCAGCAGCACGGCACCGCAGTTCACAAGAAGAGTTAAGGCTGCATTTCATGCGCTGCGCTGACACGAATGCAAAGCACATGAGCCAAATGGCTCATGAAGCACACCACTCGAAACAAACATGAACAAGTTCATGCATCGATAGAATAAGCTGAGGCTGAGGCTTTTTGTTTCGAAGACAGCATGGTCTTGGAATTGGCGTGTGCTTGAGAACCACAAGGTCGGTTAGCATCACTTCGGCCCTGAAAGCCTGCGCTGCATTGCCTTGAGCGCCCAACCTGGCCACGTCTTGGCAGCGAGCGCAGATTTGGCGTCGGTCCCTTGGCGCTGCGCTTCACAGAGACCTTTCTGCAGGCGCGCCACTGTGGTGCGTTCAACTTAACAAATTTCTTGCGGCACGGCACTTCGGCCTCGACCACCGGAAGTCCGAAGTCATTTCACAAACAGATTGCTCAGATGCGTCTTACGCAGTGTTCGATTCAGGCACACCTGTTGCATCGAGAAGCACTTTCACAGACTGTTTGTAGCAAGCACGGCGCGTCGATCTCATCCGCTGCTCACAAGCGTAGTACGCAGGTGCTGATCTCAAGCGGCGTCTTGGCAGCTTTGCGCAGCCTTTCTTCTGTTTGGGCGCGCCATTCATCTCTGCTCCAGCAGCTACAGCCTCCTTCAAGCCTGCAGGCCCTACCGCGGGCTATGGGGCGAGGGCAAGGACCGAAAGAACACTGCAAGCTAGAAACACATTGCCCAAGAGCCTACGCGGATGCCTACCCACATGACTACGCGAGGCCTACGCAGAGGCCCAGGGTCTTGCCAAGAGGCTTGGCTTCTCATTCTGGGGTGTGGGTTCTCACTACAAGGCTCGGCGAGACGTGGCCTATCTGCCTCCCTTAGCTGGACACTACCTAGAATCGCTGCTTGCAAAGTGTTCCTTGTTGGAAGATAGTAGGATATGTGTGTGTGTGTGTCGGCATTGCAATATTGTTTTTGCGGCATAATATGCTGTGTGTCCATTGACAGCTGGACCCTCGTTGTTCACACATCTCGCATAGAACTGATGCTCAGGACAGGCAGCACCAGCTAAAAGTCGCTCAAAAGTCTTTCCTGGAAGTCTCCATAAGAAGTGGCGCGAAGGAGTGTTATTGAGAAGCGTGTCAATTTAGAGCGCCACTCACAGGGGTTGTGTAGTTTCTTAGTATTGTCATGCTGGAGTGTTGCTTAGACTCAGAAGTGTGGCTTCAAAGTACTGTATTGTTGACAAGTGTCAGTCCACCTTATTCAAGCACTGCTTCTAACACCAACCGCAGCACCAAGTGTCGTGCAACATCCATCGCGCAAATATGTCACCCTGGTTCACAAAGAGAGGCATGCCGGGGTGGTCACCGTTCCTACCTGTCCTTCCGATATTCTCCAGGCCGCAGTCAAAGCTGAGCTTGTCAAGCTCCTGCAGAACCCGTCAAAGCAACCTTGCAATCAAGATTGACCTTCCTCGTAGGTGTCTCCAGACAAACAAAGTGGCATGACGGGATGCATCGAGATTGAAAGTGATCAGGTTGGGTGCAAAGCTGGACCCTTTCAGAGCAGGAGAAGGTACTAGGGGGCTGCTGGGGGATTTTACGCAAGGTTGAAGGCACGGCAACAAAGGACGAAAGTCACAATCCAAACAACCCAAAAACAATGTGCACAACCCAGCTGACGCCGAAACCATCCTCCAAGCATTTTGGCTGGCAAACACCTGTCACGTCCTCTGACCTGGGCGCAGGCAAAAGAAAGCGGGTGCTCAAGTGTTTGCTACATACACGAGCTTTTCCTGGATATCAGGCCCAATTCAGCCTTACTTCGAGCCGAACGAAAAACAATATGGGTTTCATGGGCTGCCCTCGTACAGGAAGCTTTGGATTGATGTGGGACTTGCCTCAAAGCTAAACCGTGTAGCTTGCAGCGCTCGGCCAGGCTGAACGTGAAAGAGTAGTTACACACCATCCAAGAGCTGCAGTCAAGAAGGGAAGCAATGCAGAAGCAGCAAACTGCTCACATTTGGGCAGGAAACACTACCTTTGTCCCAGCGGCGTCATCGTTTCAGCGTCCACGTGAGGAGGACAGTTTTTGAGCTCCTTGCGGCCTTCCTGCACGGGCATAGATGCCTTGAGTTAATTGATCAGCGTCGTGCAAGCGCGCGTTGGGCATGCTCACTAAGTAGCTCTGCAAAGACAACTTACCCTCCCGCCCACATGGCTGTGGTGAGTTGCAAAAGCTGATCTTTCAGGTCCCCCACAGGTACTATGTTAGCAGGAAGAGCGGGGCCCCACAAGGAACGCCCAATCCCGCCTGGAGGCAATGCCGGATCTGCTCCTGGCGTTTGTCAAAGCAGCAGTCCAAGGACTCCCCCGAGCTGCCTGACGGGTTGACAGGCACAGGGGTCGCTGGAGATTCCCCTGGAGTGGTCTCGCGTGATGAATTCCAGAGCCGCCACTTTTGGCCCAAGAAAAAAGAGGGAAATTGAGGGGCCCCGGTTGAGGGATCCAATTCCGAATTCCGCTTGAAAAGCCTGGGGATTTGGAGGGATGCGGGGTTGTGCTGTTCCACTGAGGACAGAGTTCCGTGGAGTTCCGTGACATGGGGTGTGCTTTGATTCCCTGCCAGACTGCAGCCTCGACAGCCACTCTGCAACTGCCAGCACACATCCCTCGCATGTTACCACCAACCAGACGTCTGCACGAGCCAAGGCCACAACTATGTTTTATCTCAAACATGCACGTCTTCATCCTACCACCAAGTCAAAGCCCGATGAAGCGCCAAAGTAACGAAACCTGGGCCAGTTGCCCGCCTGGACAGCAGTAGCCCTCAAGACCCAGCTTCGCGCAGCGGGGCGCTTCCGCGCAGAGTACTGAGTGGCCCTGGGCTGTCACAAACTTCGCCGGCCATGTCAAATGAGTCGCATGGCATCATGACTCTGACCGGCGAAAACAAATTGGGACACACTGGTACATTTCCTGAACGAGGAACACACTACCCGAACGTACTCGACAATCTGCAACCCTAGATCAGCGCTAACACCTTCATGGCAACAAAATAACTATTTAACCAAAAAAAAAACTCATCCGATCTGAAAGCTCCTTTTCTGAAAGCTCCTTGTGTGGCCAGTCTTAAACGTTCGCACGACGCGAAGCCCGAGATGCTGTGTAGTTCGAAGCGCCTTGAGCCACGGCAGCACCTCGAGCAGCTGAGCTGGCAGCTCCAGAATCTGTGTCGGTCTCTTTTTTGTGGGAATCCCGCTTTTTGGTTGCTGCCAAAGTGAAAGGCAAAGGGACAACTCCGCAAAATGGGGGTCCGGGGTCACCCTATTTTCAGATGAACCCAAGTGAGGAAACAAAGGATGAACTTGGCGTCTCAGAGCGGCCTCGATTGCGCTACCAAAGCGCCCTCAACATTGCCCACAGGAGCACAAGTTGATTCCGAAAGCAACAACCGGCTCAGGCTTGTCTGCACCATTTGAACTCAAAATACTACTGAGACGGCGGGAAGAACCAAAACACAAGGCTCTCACACATCTGATTGGTGCTTAACATGCGCGTGCCTCTTTTGACGCTTAGGCACGTCGTTGCAGCATCTGCATGGATTCCGAACAGCTGTCTGCATGGAGGGCCTTGGAACCGGGGGGCTGAAGCATGCAGGCTGACCAGTTTGTATCGACTGCAAAATCCAGCATGTTCAAGCCTTCTTGCAAGTATCACCCAGGTCAAAACACTGGCGCCGGGGGTACAACATGCTTCGGTGTGGTTGTCCTAAGGTTCAGCTCAAAGGGGCTGGAAAACACCTGGCGAATCATTCGCTAGAGCGAGGCCATGGCTTCCTGAAGCTCCGCTGCCACTGGAAACAGTAGCAGCAGAAGTGCCGCCATGGCGTCGAAACTGTCACGCCTCTGAGACTTCCAAGTTTCAGCAATGTGTTTTTGTTTGGCCAAAGCTAGTCTGAACTCAAGTTTATGCCCGAAAAGTGTAACGCTGTGAGCGAGCGGGAGGCTGCGAGCGGACACATAGCTGCTGTCATTGGCGTGCTTCAAGGCGCAAAGTTCGCAGCAGTTCCATCTAGGGTAGCCTTATCAGAGTGCTACAAATAGCCGGCAAGAATGATCCGATGGCCAACGAAACCGCCCAAGCTGCAGATGGCAAAGTGGCCCAAGCGCCTGGTCGCTCCACTCAAGCCTGGGTGCCAGGATGCCAAAAGGCACCGTGAGCAGCAAGACCTGAGCAAAGGCGGCCATTCCCCACCCCCGCCTGTGCCTTTTCCTGGCCAGGCCCACTAGCTGATGGCTTGGCATGCAGGAGCACTTCCAACCCTCTCAGTAGCCCATCCTTCTTGGAATGTCTCTTCCTGGACCCTCACTTCGTGAAGCAACCGCTCACAAGTGCCCGTACTGCCCCTGTTGCAGCTGGTCCTTTGCAACAGACATGTGAAACCATGGGCGCAATGAAGGATTCCTGAAAATTCCTTACGTTTCCGCTTTGAACATCCGCGAAACGCTCCAATCGTGCGGCCACCTGTCGACCCGCTCCCTTCTCCAAGCCACGTTCAGGGCCGAGTCCAGGAGGAACTTTCTGCAGCAGGCAGCCTGGGTCAGATTTCCCTTGGGAACAGAGGCACACGAAACACAAGGTCCAAATAGGGGCCCTGGTATAAACCAACCGCCCGTTTGGTTTCTTGGTTTGGGCAGGACATATTTCGGAGTAGATGTGCTGGGACAAGAAAAAAAACGCGACATATTCCACTGCTCTCGTCCGCTCCGCTGCCCAAAAGCCGCACAGGCCGCGAGAGCTGCGCTGGGCGTCCCGACAAAGTCTGCCTGGGTGTGCAGCCACTGGATTGGAACCCCAAGAAAACAAACAAAACTTAACCACCAAGGTTACAGGATCTTGATGGCTGCCTTGCAGTCCTGCTGAAGTCGCTCTAAAGCCCTTCTTAGACGCATAAGCCCTGCCTTAGTTTGCTTGCTGACCCACCGTCCCCGCCAAGCGGCGTATTTCTTTGGTGGCTCTGCCGTCAAAGCTTTCTGTGCCTCCTCGCGTCCAGTTAGGCACAAGGAGGAGGATGGGAGCAAAGAATTCTGCAGCCGCAGTCTAAGCATCCAGACCGGCCTGGTCTTTAGCTTCTTTGTCCTTCTTGTGTTGCAGTGGTGCATATCCATTCCTTTCCTGAGCATCAAAGTGGCTCTAAGTAGCTCAAACAGGATCTGATAGCTGCAGCTGTGGCCTGACAATGTGGTGTATAATGCTGAATGCACATGCTAGTCACTTACCATTGATACATTCCAGCATAGAGATTCAGGGACCGTTATTGAGTCCTGTGTGCTCGTGTGGCAGCGGACGCTCGATACTTGAGCAATGGTGATTCCTGGGCTGTATGCCGATGGCTATTGGGTGTGTTCGGCGTATAACTATACGACCCGACAACTCAAAAATCGCGGACATGCATCAGCGTTCCTTCACATCAAGTAGCACGGACTGCAAGAAGCATGTCCGCTGACCCTTGCTTCTTATGCACACAAGAAGCCGAAAGTCTAACTAAACACAGCGGTGAACCCAAATGGGCGTGTGTGTGTGTGTGTGTGTGCCTGTGTCTGTGCTTGTGTCTGTGCTTGTGTCTGTGTGTCTGTCTGTGTGTCTATGTTTTTGAAACCGGTTCACTTCTGAGCGCCCCGCATCTTTGCTCATGCCGGCGGCACACCTCGAAAATGATTTGACCACTCCACTATCAGTAGACAACTCTGGTGATTGGTAAAAGTTTCAGCCATCGACCTGCGAATCGCGGCTATGAACTTGCTCAAATTAAGAAGCCATCCCCTTCTCTGAACTTTCCTTATCTTTCTCCCAAAGGATTTGTGCTTTCACGTGATCAAATTGAAAGGTTTGCAAATCTTTCGAAACAAAACATGTGAAGGTTGTGATTCTGCCCAGCATGGCGTCAAGGGATCTCCTTAAACCCATCTGCCTTGCTTTCTCTCTCTCTCTCTCTCTCTATTGGTGGGTTGACAAACCTATATCCGGATGATTGCTGGTCCGGTTGTCAAACTCACACAAATGCTATTCAAGTGATTCCAAGGCCCATGGACAATTTCAAGCGTCTGCCACCAACCAAGTGATTCGGCTATCCCGCTGGTTCAGCAATCAATGTGTGAGCAAGCCTATCTAAACCACCGGGACCTCATGCGTGCTACTGCCCATCCGGGGTGCAGCCTCCAGCAACTCATATTACAGGCTGTCCTAAGCCCGAAGAAGAGACATGTCTCCTGCGTGCTGATAAAAAAAAAAAAAAAAAAAAAAAAAAAAAAAAAAAAAAAAAAAAAAAAAAAAAAAAAAAAAAAAAAAAAAACACTCAGAAAGGACTGGATATAAGGGATAAGCCAGCCCCCTGCAAACTTTCAGTCTATCCTATGCCTAATAACACCAACACTTGGACCACTCCCACACTTTCCACTGCCACAGGCTGGCAGCTGAGCAAAAAGTTCACTAGGTTGTTCCCTACCAGCTTGGTCTTCGGCCAGTTGCATCTTCTGCAGTCTTTTTCAACCCCAGCCTGATCTTCGGCCGGAAGGCCCCGTGCCACTGAGCCCAAACACTTCGGACGGAAGTCGCAACTTCAGACCTCACCGTTATGTTATGCTGGTTCCATTGATGCCGTGCCCACGTTGCATCCGATTTTAGTGGGCATTCTGACAGCCGTTTGGGCCGCTTTGCAGCCATGACGTCACACAGAAAAATCAGCAGAGCACTTTAAGATCCCATGATGAACAAACACTTGGTCACGCTGTTCCCTCAATGCGCGGGTATGTGTCACGTATATATGATAGGTATCTCAGTCTGTGTTGATTATGTACCTGCATGCATGTGTACGCATGTGTGCATGTGCGTCGTGTATATTATAGCAGTATCTATTTCTGATATACCAATATGTCGTGTGCGCGCCAATATGTGTGTATCTGTATCCGCCCCCCTTCGGCAGTCGAACATGGCAGCCTAGCCTTACGAGCTCTACCACAGAGTACGTGAGCTATGTAAGTAAGTCAATTGCCCCAGAAAGAAATTGCCCCTGTGTCCCCTGTGTCCCTCCCAAATTGACCGAACCTCATGTGTTCTGACTTGGGTCATGGTCATGGTTCCATTGGTAGGAATCCTTCTAATGGCCCTCTGAAGCGGTCCATGACCATCCGTAGCAACCCCAAGTAAACAAGCCTTTTGACCATGTCACATGTTGGACACGAAACTCTGCTGCTGCCACCTGGTAACATCTGCCCACCTTCTTGAGCTGGGAGGTGTTGAATCCTCCAATCGCCTCAAGCGCGGAAAGAAACTTATTCGCAAAGCTCAGCAGGACTGATCCGCAGGACTCACGCTGAGACTGCCCAAACTGCTTGGCACGCTCTCCCCCTCACAGGCCAGGGTGACATTGAAGACCGCGGACATGCCGGCGCCGGCGGGAGCCGCCTTGGCGGTCTCGTTGTCCTTGGCAGAGAACATCTCTTGCAGAAAACGAGGCAGTCACGCAAGGACAATGGTTCAACATGGTCGATCATTTGCATTCAGCATGGAACACTAGTGGGCAAATCTTGAAACTTGAAGGTGGTAGCAGAGGACTTGACTTGAGACTGTGTCGCTGTTCACAGGCAACAATCACTCAAGCATTCTAAGCATTTGTAGACGCATTCCACGCCGAGTGTGTTGGAGGGGCGTGCGCTTGTCTTTGTATTCCACCCAATAAGTGGCTTCCCTCCGGTGTCCCTTGAAATCCCAAAAACGGGTTCCCAAACGAAGAACACGCCGGGGGTTCCCAGTTAGCCTCCATCAAAGCCAGGGGTGTCACCTGGCCATGGGTCAAAAGCCCGTACCCCCAGTGAACATCCCAATCCAACCACTAGAATAGAGTAAAATGGGTGGTGAATTCAGCTACCCCAAAATGGGATCCCAGTGGTTTTGACCACCACAGCCACCTGACAAAGGCTTCGCCCAACGCCCAACGCCCAACCGCGCAACGCCCAGCGCTTCGCCTGGCGCAGCTTCGCGCGCAGCTCCTCCGGCATGGCCGCGAAGCCACCCTGCGAGCGCCCGAGGCGGTTCTCCCCGCGCTGTTCGAAGTGGTTCTGTTGGCTTCACTTCAACCCCAAGCGTTCCCTCGAAAAGAGAAACAAAACAAAAAAACTCCCAGGTCTGAGGGAAAAAAGGAAAATGACGACACTCAGAAAAAGGACACCCCAAGAGGTCAAAAGCAAAGCACAGGCCAACACATAGCTGTGGCCGAATCGCATCCGGTCTGCAAATGGATGGCACACATGTTTCGTGTAATCTTGCTCAAGCCACCCAGTAACAGTTGACCAAGCTTCCTTTGTATCCAAGGTGTTCGCCCCACTGCATCAAGAACCGGGCAAACAGCCCCATCCGCATATTCAGCCCGGCTGAGACCCATCTTGCGAGCCGCTCCTTGGGCGGCGGCGGACCCTTGCCCTTGCCTTTTGCTTTGCCTCGAGAGCCGCGAAACGAGGAGTTCAAGATGTCTGTCTCGGCAAAGGTGGCACACTGTGAGAGGCTCAGAAAGTTGCTGAGGTCTACGGCAGGATCAAGGCAAATGGACAAAAGGGTCACGGAAATGAAACAATGATGGCATGTGCTGCCTGGAAACCAAGTGCCTTGTATGGGAAGCCTGCAGGTCAAGACTCGCGCCTCACTCTGTCTTTCCCCTCCCTATGCATCGGCGTCTATTCCAAGCTTCAAGTTGCAAGGGCAGCCTTGCGGGGCGGCGCTGCCACCTTTGCCACCACTGCCCAATGGGCTGGCAGTAAAGTACTCCATTGCCACCTGCAGTTGCAAGTTGGACTCTCTCCTAGGTGGGGTGCTCCTCATCCTGCAGCACTAGTTGGGGTTCGTTCTGTTTCCCTGTGTAACTGCGCCAGACCTTCCATGGCCTTCCCGCTAGCCCAAAACCAAGATGAAACAGCATGAATCTCGGCATGTTCCGCGAAAGCTGGCATCAGATCACGCGGCCCTGCCTGGCCCTTGACATTCCAAGTGACGCCCAGCTTGCAGGTCTCCGTGCACCACTCCTTCAAAGCCTCAAAGAGATGAGAGCTGTGATGCACCTAGGCTTTGTGCCTGTGATGCGCAGCCTGTGAGCCTTCGCACAAGTCCCACGGCGCCTTCAGCGATTCCTTCACGGCCTTGATCCAGTTTGTCTCCTAACACCATGGCACTTCTCTCAGTGAAGAATGGAACTGATGCCGGCCACGCAAGCTTAAAAAGTAGGGCCAGTATGCGCTTGCTCGAGGCAAAATGGTACAACTCAGATCTGGAGCTGGCGGCTTTGCCTCTCACTTTGAACTCCAACAAAGAATATGTGTCTGTGTGCGCGCATGCGGGCTGGCGGGCGAGTTCGCGTGCGCGTTCGCGTGTGGGTGCGCACGTTCGCGCGTGCGCGTGCCTGTGCATCTTTGTCTCCGTATTTGTAGGTGTGTCTGTGTATATCCGTGTGGATGTGTATATTTGTGTGTCTGTGTTTGTTTGCGTGTCTGTGTTTGTTTGCGTGTGTGTTGTGTGCTTGTGCTGGCGTGTGAGTTTGCAGTACATGTCTGTGTGTCTCTGTGTTTGGTTGTATATCTATGTGTATCTCTGTGTGTATCTATGTATCTGTCTTTCAGCGGTGTCGCATCTGTGTATCTGTGTATCTGTGTGTATGCGAATCTGTGCATCTGTCTTTGCGTGGTAGGTGTGTCTGCGTATCTGTGTACTTGTGTGTCTCTGTCTATCTGTCTATCAGTGTATCCGTGTTTCTGTCGTGTCAAAGTTCATCGAATGGTTTCAAGTTCACAACTTCGTGGCTTTGACTTTCGTTGCTTTGTCCTTTGCACTCGTGGCTTCGTGGCCGGATTCTCGGACGCTGGCCTTCTCCACCTTCTTCTGCATCACCTGCGATCCCAGCGACGCATGCCAAGCGTTGCATGACATTTCACCGGGTCAAAGGCTTTGCGCGCCTTCATTGCATGGAAGTCAAAGGTCTCCAAGACACTTTGAACCTCCGGGCGCAGGAGCTATTTGGAACGGATTTGGAGAGCTTCGACTCGTACAAAACACATGGACCCACGTCATCTTTACTAGGTGGCAGCGCCATCATACACCGATCTTCTCGATAAGGGCAGGTGCGCTTGACAATTCGCAGGAGCTCAAGCATGAGCCGCACGGATCTGTGAACCTCTGTAAATAATGAGTCTCCGAGGTGTCAAGCATCATTTGAATCTTGCCTTCAGGAGAGTGATCTTTGAATTGCTACCAACTTCATCTAACTTCAAGCAATAAACCAGTTGTCTTGTAGCTCACTGCATAAACGGCCCGTCGCAATTGCCAGTTTGCCCTCTTGGTTCATCCGCAATTTCAGGCCTCCAAGCATTAAACACGACACCGTTCATTTCGGGCCATGCCTTTCCAAAGCCAGACCTAAGGTCTCCACGTGAGATGGCGGAGATGGAGAAGTCACTAGCCTAGGAAAGATTGAGGCGATGCCAAACACCATGCAGACTCACATCGGCAAAGTCCTGTGGGACTTTGCAAAGGTCGCTCGCAACCAGCAGTCGTTTGCATGCCGACCCAACACTCTCTGAACAGCTATCAACAAAGCCATCGACAAGGCCAATCCATTGTTGGCGATGATGAGCAAATGGTCGCTTCTTCAGGAATGTGTAGCCGTTTGAAGGCTTGACTATAGACCGGTGCGTCAGAACATGGGCAAACTCAAACTTTGCAACTGCCCATCCAGTATCATCCAGTAAACTGCTAGCACTGAATATACACATCACAATTTCAGGAGGCTCACTCACTCTCAATGCGACCCAGTCGCATGATGATGTTGAGGGATTCTGCGCAAGCTTTCCTTCCAGTGGAAAGCAGATGCATGCGAAATACATGCAGCGAATCAGACTCGACTCACCCGGGATGGTCTCAAGACTGCTTTTGCAAGCCATGGACACAGACTGCCGAGTAATCACACAATGCGATGCTTATCTTCATCCCTGACAGTGCAAGCCGAAAAGCAAACATATGTAACATATGTAAGGTTGGGCCCTTCACAACAGCAGACTTTTTCACAGGGTGCCCCTTTTTGACATGTTGTGGTCACTAAGGCATGCAACCAACTGTTTGAACAACTCACCTCATCCCTGCATGCAAATATTGCGGTCATGTGGCTGTGGGTCAAAACTGGGTACCCCAAATGGAACCCTAGCAAATGGAAACAAGGACTAAAACCTGCGGTCCCCTGGTGGTTTAATTTTGACCCGTACCCATGTTGACGCTTCAGGAAGCAAAAGCACTGAGACGCGTAGCTCTCTTCTGGCCCGCGGCTCCTGTGCTGGAAGAAGTCACTGCGGGGGTCGCAGGCCTTCTGCGCCTGGCGTGCTGCCAACGGAACGAGATCTGGTCGTCAAAGATCGCTGGATTATTTTCTGGTCGAAACATAGAAGAGGCTTGGGATTTGCATGCGAGCAAATCCCAACACTTCGCCACCAAACACGATGTTGCAGATTCCCGCTTCAGCATACAAATAGTTGCTACGCATTGTGAAAAGCAAGCTGCCGGTTGGCG